GGCTCCAGGCCGAGTATCTCATTTTAGATCAAATGGATAAAAGAGTAAAAGAGCCAGGATCCCAACCTAGTTTCCCCAACTATGAAACTCAAGCTTTTTCTCCTGTGCCAAGATGCACCCAGGGCACTTGGAATGAAACTCTCGATTATCCAGAGATAATCCTTCTGTCTTTACTTTTAGCTTTACTCACACTCTTCCAAAGCATTCATTCGGTCCGTCATTCTCTCAGGTAACATTGTGGGAAACTTCATTTCTCTAGTCACCATTTTAATCATTGGATGAGCAGGAATAAATGGCATGCGTCTTTACTCAAGGCAGTCTACGTTCTAAAAGGAGTCATCACACTTAAAAGAATTATTATACAGTGCTAAATGATTCTAGAACATAGGTAATGATGCAGTTAGTTCTCCATGGGGTAGTGAGAAAGGGTTTGCAGAAAATGTGACATTTGATTTAATTCAGCCAGGTGGAGTTAGAACGATGGAAGGGAGAGATGGGGGAAGGGAGGGAGGGAAGGAAGGAGGGAGGGAGGAAGAAATTCAAAGGCAATATTCCAGGTGTGGTTTTCAGAAAGAATGATTTATAGAAGGAAGGGCAGTGTGTATTGAAGGATGACTCTGGAAAAGTAAAGCTGAGGAATATTGTGAAGGGCCTTGAATACTGTAGGAAATTCTCTGTCACCCACCTTGGCCTAGAAATAGGTGGCATGAGTCATTAAATGATCTGCATGCATCCATATTGTATTATGAGTTAACCAGGGTCAATATCTAAAAGATATAGAATATAATTAATACTGTCAAAGGAACACTCTGTTTTATGGGGTTTTTTTTGTTTGTTTTGCTTTAATGCTCGACAAGTGGCAACTGACATATGACCTCTTTCCAGGAAGCAGGAAAAAAAAAATGGCAGAGACAGTCCCATAGAGCCTGATTCTTCTGATCCGTGGACAAGGCAGATCTCTCCCAGACTTCAGTGATTGTTGGTACAAGGACATGTGGCCTAAAGTTTCTAGATCATTGGGTCTTTCAAGAGATAACGTAAATTTGAATTTTATGTGAGCTGCCCCCATTTAAAAAATGCTAGTTTTTTTTTTTTTTTTTTTACATAATGCAGACTCATCATCATCCGTCTCCTTATCTATGGACTAGATTTGGTTTATGAGGCTTCAGTTGGTCTGTTGGCCGACAGAATCCGTGAGGCAAAATTGGTCTTCTCTGAATGCTCTTCTCTCCAAGGCTCCAGCCAAAGCTTGTGTTTCTGTCCTCTTTCCTTCTCTTACACGGACGTTTAAACTTTGAGTGGCGACCACTCAGAAGGGCTGGTGGGAGAGGAGCGATCTTAATCTAGGAAAGGAAAAGAGAAGTTAATAACTAAGAAGAAAGTGTCATCATGAAAAATGTAGAAAGATGGGAGAATTGTTTGTTTGTTTGTTTCAAGGAGGAGGGATGAGATCGAACTACCAAAAGCTAGCTAAGAAAAAATAAATAAATATCTTGGTGGAAATCTCTAATACAGAAAAGGTCGACAGAACCGGTACCAAGGAAGTGGCAGGAAAAACAAGAAGCAGGTGAAGAAGCAGAAGGGACCCTAAAGCATATATGTTTGCCATTGTGTCAAAGTGTTGACTTCCAGAGGTTTGGATAAAATGTAATGCTCTAAATTAGGGGTCATCAAGCCATGCAAGACCTGTGAGCCAAACCTGGCCCATTGCCTGTTTTTGTATGATCCCCAAGCTAACCATGGTTTTTGCGCATTTAAACGGTTGACAAAAAATCAAAAGAAGAATATCTCATGACAGGTCAGAATGATAGGAAACGCTGATTTTGGTGTTTGTTTATGTTGTCTTCAGCTTCTTTCATGAAACACCAGCAGAGTTTGGGGTAGCTGCAGCAGAGAGAATAAAGTCCACAACACTTGAAATATTTATCATCTGCCCATGTACAGAAAGAGGTTTGCCATCCTGTCTGTGATGGCCGGAGAGATAATGATGCCTAAACCTTAGGTTGAATTCCGTCCGTTTCTGAAGACTACCTGTGTTTCCTAGCGAGTACCACAACTGTCTCCCCTGTTCTTTACCTCATTCTTTTATTTTATATTTTTTAAGTTCCTGCAATAGACTGTAAACTTAATACTGCACATTAGATAGCAGACGGCCAACCATTTACCATGAGCCGTGTGTACCAGCCACTGCGGAGCAGAGATGCAAAGAATGTGGTACCTGACTTTCAATGGAGGAAATGTATCCAACGAGAAAAATTACAGCTAAAGTCAGAATCAGAGAAATGTGAGTTAGGACAGGAAGTGGTGAGGAACGGATGACGAGAACACAGATATGCAGTCAGTAAAGGCTAACAGGAGAGTTGAACCTCTTATTTGGCTCTGAGCTTCCTGGCAGTCAACGTGAAAAGGGTCATAAACGTCATAAACAATTAGCCTTTATTTTCAGAGAGAGGAAAAAGGATACTCATTACTGGGGAGCAGCAAAAGTTTTTGTATTACGGAGTTCTTAGAAAGAAAAAAAAAAGAAAATGTCCTCTGCAAAGAATATAGCTATATATCCCATATATATTTCTGATTTTTCTCTAGCCATATATATGTATATATGTCGCATATGTAATATATTTCTCATTCCTCTGTGACTGAGATTATCAGGCTCTTTAATAAAAACGACATGTATAGTTATAAAGATAATGATCTTTTGTATCTATGTAATTCTACAGTTTCCAAAACACTCCTGCAGTTTTTCTCATTGGCTCACTCTTGTTGAAGAGTATGTGTATGTTGTTACCTCTGTTCTTTGTTCAGGAAACTAAGAGTCTAAATGTGTAAATTTTGGGCCTCTGTGACTGAATTAAGTCTCCTGCCTCCTGGTCTAATGGTCTTGCCACCCTACAACATAAAAGAGACATAATTCCATCTGACCCAAACCTTACCAAAGTAACAGATAGCTCTCCCTTCCTGAGAAGCTGTCTCATGGCCATGCTGCTGTCCTCACCGGTAACTTCTCAGAAGAGCAGTGTTGAAAGTCAGAGTCAAAAGCTAAAGTTAGAAACAGTATCAGGCTGTTAAGTAAGAGGGGTCAACTTGCAGCTGTTACTGGAGCAGTCCAAAGTGTAACAACGTGGCCACTTGGATACACGAGAATCAATTACAGAGAAACCTTGTCAAGATGGCCAAAATTCAGCCTTAAATAATTGAATTCTCTGCCAAATGCTGTCCACTGTCGTTATCTAGAAATGTAATTATGCAGCTAAATCAAGCAACTAAAATTAGTGTAGTGTAAAAACACCTTGGCTATGTAGAAGTGCAGGAATTGACATTTGGATTTAGAAAAAGCCGATAGTTGAATAGGTTTTTGCGGTGTCTGAAGCTCTCCCAGTTTCCACAAAATCTATACCCTGTGTCCTGTTTGGAGTGAGAGGTGGAATGTGGCAAGCAAATGTTTGGTTTGAAGGTGATTTTCAGTGATCCCTGGGCCTCGAGCGTAAGCTGAGTGGACGTGTTTTGTAGGTTTCACATCATTGCTCTCAAAACTGCAGAACTCCAAACACGCCCACGTGCTCTCTGGGTGTACAGATGAGAAGAGTGACAATTTAGATGTTATCTGCACCTTCTCTCTCAAGCCACGGAAGCGTCCGTACCAACCATCAGGAGAACAGGAAACACGTGATCAGAATGGCTAAGAGCCTCCTGTATTCTACACGCCATGATGCTAAGGACCTTATTTGTCATACGACCCTTTGAGGTAGGGTCTACTACCTGGGTTTTCCAAATGAAGAAACGGAGGTTCAGAGACTCTAGGTAACTTGTCGAAGGTCACACAGCTAGTATGTGGGTCACCGAAGTCAGTATAATTTGAACGCACGTAATCCTGTTGGGGATTTATCTATTGCTATGTAGGCTATTTTAAACAATCATTGGGTATTTCCACACACTGGAAATATTTCAAATATGGGTTCAAATGTATTTCTCATCCATAGGTTTGCTCCACATGAGCTATGTCTTTAAACTCTGGGAACAAGGTGACGTCTCAATAAAATACTGCATATTAATAAATAACAATTGAAAGCTCAAAGACAAAAAATGTTTTTTAAATGCACACACATGCAACAGGCATGTGATATTCTATTACAGAGTGAAATACTGTACTGACTGCAGTGGCCTGGTTAGAGATTTTGTTTGTACCCTGGCAGTGCCTCTTCCAAGTATGCGACTGTGAGCAAACAGTTCACCTAGTGTGAGCCTCATTTCCCATTTGTTACCTGGAACTAATAACAGCACCTTCCTCGGGGAGTTGAGAGAGTAAAATTACATAACACAGGTAAATAAGCTCATTCTCCGTGCATAGCACATATTGCAAATATTAGCTAGTGGTATTATATTATTTGCACAAATTGCCTCTTTAAAATTAAAACCAGAGAGAGAGAGAGAGAGAGAGAGAGAGAGAGAGGAGAGAGAGAGAGAGAAACAAACTAGACCATCTTCTTAGTATCTTCCTGATCAGGACCGAAGGCTGAGCATATTAACTTACTTGAGTTTTAAGTGGCAACTGATAATCATATTAATTTACATGTCTCATTTTCCTCCCTCCGAAAAGCCCATGCAGATTTCGTCCCTTGCCTTTTGCCCAAAAAATATTAGGAAGAGCCCAGATCCTGTTGCCTGACTACCTCTCCCTAAGTCTCTCTGAGAACTAAATTAACGAGGAGTGTTTGGTTAGTCATGTTAGGCAAGCCATTCCCAAAATAGCACCTTCCATTTTGGTAGCTCCAACTTTGCAGCTGCTGTGTCTCTTCGTCGTCTGGGAAGAAAACTTTCACATTAAGAGTTGCTGATTCGGATTTTCTTCCTCTCCCCTCTCGGCGGTGATGAGCGCTTGGCTCCTGACAGAAGCGATTTGGCTCTCTGCTTTGTAGTTCGCAAGAAGTTGGGTTTATAGATTTTCCCCTAACTCCATTGATGTGTTGAGCTTCAGAGGGAATAACACCTTCACGTAAAGCATGTTGCCTTCTCAAGGAGTCCTCCTGCATCCCTATGGAGTGCCTATGATCGTTCCAGCCACCCCCTACTTCCCCGGACTGATCCAGGTAATTCAAGGCCACTGCCAGCAAGCAACTTAACTCCAGAGCGCTCAGAGTAATAATTGGAATTTTTATGGTTGAGAAAGCAAACACTTTTAATACAGGAAAAAGCCCTCGTGTAGTCAGTGGGAAGACAGTGGGAAATCAAAAAGATGGATCACCCTAATCTGGCTATTGACATCTCTCATGGCTGAATAAATGGTGTAGTTGAGCTATATTTGCTTGTATTGATCCGGCCGCTGCTTAACATTCATGCCTTTGCTCCAGAAGGTTGACCACGGGGCAAAGGATTTGCTCTCCTTCCCAGCTTTCTGGGGGACTCAGTCTCCCAGAGCAGATCATGAGGCAGAGTAACTTATCACGAGGTGACTTGGTTCAGAGCTTTAACCCGGGAAGTAGAAAGAGCATGAAATATGCATTAACTCGTATGTTCTCCTTCACATGGATTGTCTATTTTCGCAGAAGCTTCCCCCACCCCCACCTGGGTTGAGGGGTGGCACTAAGGCAAAAAAAGAATACTCTATCGATGGTTAATTTATGAAGTTCAGAGATTATTCTAGAAATCCCTTACTGGCTCTTGTATCTTAATGATGGCAAGAAAGCGGAGGGTGGAGATGTGTGTTGGTTTTACTTTTAAGACTGTTAATTCTGTACGAGGAGAATCATCTCGGAATAAGATATTTCTGGCCTTTGCTCCCTTATCAAAAGCTTGTCTTTTAAAACAAGCATTGGATTCTGGGTGGATGTCTGAAGTTTTCTGTGGAAAGCTAACATCTACTAGTGATAGAGCCTAATCATAGGAAACCCAGCTGGGTTTTTTTTGTTGTTTTTTGTTTCTGTTTTTGTTTGTTTTAGAACAACCAGCTTTTCTGTAATACATTCTGTGTCTTGTTTCTGCAGGAAAGGAAAACTAAATGCATTTAGTATGTCCTTCCACCTTCAACCTTGTGATATTTTAAAATTTTGGCGACACCCTGGCGCATTAATTACAATTTCTAGGGAGGGGTTCTGGCCAAACCCCTTTTTCCTTCGTTTCTGGATGTTGCTTGTTAGCTGTAAGAACCTCGGTGATTGAAGACATTCAAGGGGGATTCTAAATAATAACAAAACATTTTGTCATCCCCGGTTTATGGTTGTTGCTCAATTTGGAGGCTTTGAATTGAATGTGAGAAATAAACAGACTGCCTGGAGATTGTTTCTGAACAAGGGGGAAAGGGGTCCACATTTCCCGGCATAGCCCGGCCCGTGGGGCGTGCACGGATGCAAAGCGGGACTCGATGGCAAATTAGATAACTTTTTGCCTCTGTTGGAAATTTGGGGTGAAGGTCGGCCATTGGAATTTTGTTAGACCCTCTGCCACCCCATCCGATAAATAATTACAAGCAAATCACGCCCTTCACTCTATGCTGATTGATGCTGAAATTGCTTTTGAAAGTTCTCATAAGTTCCTGTTATAGATTAAGTGCCGGTGTAGGAAAAATAACGGCGCCCACTGAAATGGGTGAATGTAATCAGGCTTAATGGACTCGAGAGCTTGTTGGGAATTAAATAACTATCGATTTGCTGGAATGTTGCTGTCATTACGAAATGCCACTCTGGACATATTACCCCAGTGATGGATGAGAAGATGCACGGGCCAGCTGAGAAATTGGGGAGACCCTATTTCTTCCTCCTTTGCAGGGCGTTCGAGAAACGTTATCTAGTTATTTTTGGAAGAAACAAGTGATTTCACTTGCAAATCTTAGCCCGATCATACTTTGCTTTCCCAAGTGACACTTCTGGTAACCAGCAGTGCAACGGGGAGCTTGTAGACCAGCTGCTGTGACATGCTTCATCTTCTTCCTCCCTTGCCCCAATAGAACACACACACATGCTGTGGACAGGGAGAGACTAGCTTTATTTCCGCCTTGCTGAGACAGCCCATGGTATTTGCCTATTGGCATTACGAAATCACATCACCCCATTGCAGTAACATGTGCAAGGGGAAGGAAAGCAATTCAAAGAGAGAAAAATGGTAACATTCACACATACACACACACACCTTTCAGCTGATGCTCTGATATCAGCTGCCCTGCATCCCAGCAGACGATCGGACTGCTTACCAGTCCTTGACCTTGCGAGTTTCTTCCCAGCCTTTCAAGATGCAAGGGCTTTCCTATAGGGAATTAAAGTGCCACCCACCCCTTGATAATGCCATCAGCAAGATGTTAAAATGATCTGAAATAGCCCGTATGCTCCATCGTCAGTAGCGAGTTCCCTTTGACTAGATATGTTCAAGCGGAACCACGCTGGCCACTTACTTGGCCATGTTGCTATATCAGAGTTTGAGATTCCTCTCAAGGTCTCTCCATCCTCCAGAGCCAATGATTCTACGGCAGAAGAACTTGCTTTCTGTATTCTTTCAAGAGCCACTTTAAAAAATTCAGACCAGCATAGCCCTGTTTTTATCTTCTCAGTTAAAGAAAAAATAAATTATTGACCAGATGTGGTAAGGGAATTTAAGAGAGCATCATGTTATCCCGCAAAGGCAGTGAATGGAGGTGTTTCTTAACTGATCTGGGGGAGTCACTCACCAGGCTTTTCTGTTCCGGCAGTAGATTCAGTAGTTACCACTGACCCCACCCACCATTTCCTAGGAAAACCAGAATCTTTACCATAGTGGATCCCTCAAACCCATCATCTGATGTCTAAACGTGTTGAATATATATGGCAAGGGGGGTAGCTTTTCTTTGTAGCCAGGTAGAGAATTCCAGAATGCCTATGATAGGGCTGATTGAGTTAAACCCATTTGGACTTTTTCTTGGGGAGTAACAAGCAGAAGAGAAGGGGAAAGGGGCGATATTGCCAAGTGCATTGTCTAAACATGGGTTCCTCTTCCTGCTGCATGGACCTCAGTCTCGGTATTTTTGGATAGGAAGAACCAATGCATGCTCCTATGGAACCTCTTTATTTACTTCTGCACCCCTAGTGATACCTGGAATGATCAGTGAGTTTGCTGGCCTGAGAACAAAGGAGGTCTGACAAGTCCATTGTCAAAGCCAGTCTTGAGTCCAGAAGCTACCAGGTGGACTTACCCAAGCCATGGACCATGGCTGCACAAGGCCAAAAGCTAGAATCGAAACAATGGCATTGTAACTGATTCGTTTGAGAGTCTAATGAACTGTTGGCTCTAGGTTGCAAGTTCAGGACTTGTACCCTTTCACTAGATACTTGTCCTACGAATAAGACCTTTGACCATGCACGGCTCGATCATTCTTCATACTGGGACGAATAATTCCCATCTGATTCAGGTATCATAGAAAATGGGTCAGAAAACAGAATTCCTAGATGGAAGACAGCTCACTTAGCTGTTCATTCTCTGTCCACATAATCTGTATCAAGCACTGTTCTAGGCACCAGGAAAGAGGAGTGACAGTCATAGCCACTGGCCTGTGGGTTCACAGCCTAGTGGAAGAGAATACTAGATAAACACAAAACTGTAATAATTTAATAAAAGCAGGAAGAACAATAGGTAACAATTATTGAATACTTGCTATATGCCAGGCAGTGTGCTAAATACTTATTATCTCAGTTTATTTCCACAATAACCTTAAAGTTGGGTACTATTGGTCTATCCCACCTTATCTGTAATTTTAAATTCCAAAAAGCTCTGAAAAATCAGGGGGTTTTGGTGGAGAGTTTGGCATAACAAGTCATTTAGGAAGAAAACTTGACCTGAAATCATAAGTGGCTATTTGTAGACTTTCTTTATCCCACTTAAAGTGACTATTCATATATTTTGTTGCAGGAAGATTTATGTGTTTGATTTCAAGGTGTTATCCCAGACCCTGCTAAAGGCATTACATAACCAGTGTTTCCACTGAAATACCTTTCTGAAAAAGAAAAAAAAAACTGAATTTTAAAATACAGGTGACCCCAAGGGTCTCAGGTAAAGAATCACAGTCATACATTGTGACTCCTCTTTTTACAATTGGAGAGCCTGAAACTGAGACTTAGAGAAAAGTAACTTGCCCAAGGTCAGAAGGAACGTCCATGACAAAGCTGAGTGTTGGGTGGGGTCCGCTGGACCAGAAGCTTCCTTCTTAATCACCAATCCACTGATGAGGTGTATCCATAGGAACGCATGTGAAAACACAGGAGAGGGAGCAGACAGGTGTCTCCTAGGATAGGAGAGAAGGCAAGCGAAGGAGAAGGTCCTTCTTAGCAGAGCGGAGAAGGTGGGTGGATTCATGGCGTTGGGTCGGCACATCAGGATAGACCTTCGGTATCTTCTCCAACCCATCGGAACTGTGGGAGTTGACATTGATTAAACATAGGTCTCAAAAGTCAAAAGATATAGGGCGAAAAGCCCTGAATCTAAGCCCAGAATCTCTGTGTGCCCCCTGTAGACATGGGCTCCCCAATACCTTCCTATGACTCAGCCAGTGAATGTGGAATTGGAATTACCTAGCGTTGAGTCCTAATCACCCTTTGCCATCATTTTTCTCTGAGACGGTGAGGTCTCTGAAGGCTGAGTGTTTTCCAACGTAAACTTCACAGAGCTGGGCAGTGGCAGAGAATCGCTGACTAATGCCTATCAAATGTGGCCAGCAATGGCATAGTCAAACCCTGCCATCTGGATTTTGAAGCAGAAATCAGCGTCATCGAATTGGGCGATGGATATTATGAAAGATCTGCCTACACGTTTGTAGTGATACTGGAAATTACCAAAGTGCTGTTTTTAATGATGGACTAAGAGTAAGCACCCTGACAGGTAGGGAACTTGCTGGTCATTGGGATACATTTCTGGGAGAACTTAAAAGACACAAACTTGTTTTTCTCTGTGGCTGGTGCCGTGTTATCTACATGTTCCGAGTGTCTGCTGATTGGGAAAGAAATAAGAACGTACACTGACTATAAATGCCAGTGGTGTCATTTACTTTGAGGCTGCTCCATCTTAGTCACTAAGTGACTTTTCTGTCCTGCCAAAGAGGCCGTGTCAACAGCAGACTAAATTAAAGAGTCAG